ATAGGATGGCTTCTTGTCCATTTTGTGGCTAGAGGGAGAGGAAGATAATAAAAGAGATTGAGAAGAATGGAGAAGTAGTTTGGAATGAGGGTAAAGTATGTGAAGAAATTGTTACAGAGTTCGGAATATCATCTTCAGTTTGAATAGTATTTGTATATGTAGATGTACTTGGTTGTTTATTGATTCGTTCAGGTTTAGAAACTGAAGAAGGGTTAGAAGTAGAGTTTTGATATATTGTTGGGAAGAGCTTTGAAAAAATTACATGAGATGAGATCCATTCATTTAGTTCATCTTCATTGAATGTATATGTTGATGAGGAAGGTACTGAATTGTATTCATTAAAGTGAACATGAATAGATTCATCAGTACATTGTCTTTGTCTGTTGTACCCTGAAAGCTTTTGAGACAACCAAATATCCAACAAAAATTCCTTTATCAGATTTTGGGTCAAATTTTCCAAGGTGATCCATGTCGTAAAAATTATAGCAGATGCATCTGAAGACACGAAAGAAAGTAATATTTGGCTCTCTTCAATTAAATAACTCGTAGGGAGTCTTCGAATGTCTTTTTGTACTTGTAGATCAATTTTGAGTGAAACATTCACTTTTTACAGCTTCAACCCAGAAGTAAGTAGGAAGACAGGCCTCACTGATCATGGATCTAGTTGTTTCACATAGAACTTTGTTTCTTTTCAACAACTCCATTTGATGTGAAGTTCTAGCAACAAATTTTTTTTTTTTTGAGAAATTCCTTTGTCCAAACAAAAGTTTCTAGAATGTAGTTTTTAAATTCAAAGCCATAGTCACTTCTTAAGGATCATACTGAAGTAATATTTAGAACCTCAAAACTTTTTGATGAAGTTAATGATTTCTTTAATTGCATTGCTATTTGCCTGGATGAAGAATACCCATGTATATCTTGAATATTCATCTATAATGACCAATGTGAATCTTTATCCTCCCAAATTTTGGACATTGACTAATCCACATAGATACATATGAAGAAGATGAATAGGTGAGATAATGGATGAGCAGTTCTTACAATATATATGATACAAAATTTGAGAACTCTGAGGAACATAGTGATAGTGTCACCATCGGTCCCCAACGATGAATCTGATAGTGGGACTGATGGACTATCCATGCAAGACATCAGTGACTCCCTTTTCCTTAGTAGCATCAAACTTTTTATAAAGTTTCTAGAAAAAGTGGTTTTCAAAAAAGATTAAAAGGAAGATTCTCAAAAAGTCTAATCCTTCATAAATCAAAAGATGTCTCTCTATGACAAGTCTAAGGATGAATGTTAATTGTATAAAGAAAGATTATTTCACCGTTGATTGGTAGATCTAAAAGGTCAAAATCTTCTTTCTTTTCAATAACATCTCAAAAATCAGTCCTCCTATAAAGGATCAAGGAATGACAAACAAAGTGAAAAACACATAAGTGAGAAATCAAGAAACTTTCAAAGAACACATAAGTGAGAAATCAAGAAACTTTCAAAGAAAAAAAAAGGACTGATGGCTAGTTGAATCCTCCTATTCGTCTAACAATGAACAAAAATAAAAATAAAATATGTGCTTCATGGCTCATCTTACAGAATTAAGCGTTTCGGATAAAAGAATTGTTACCGGCTCAATATCATCTTCCAAAGGTGCTATAACAAAACTCATTAATCTTGAAAATTAGGTACAGTTATTTCTCCCTCCAATAAATGCTCTAGAAAATGTCATGAAAAAAAAAATTTACTAAGTTAAAAATGCTCCCATGAAAAGAAGGAAAGACACATTAGAAATAGTTTTCCCACTAACCCTAAAGGACCTATTACTAATAGGTACCTAGACACTAATCCCTTGATGCTTGCAAGGACCAGGTCATACTCCTATATATTTTACTTTCTATAACATTAGGTATATTTTGGATTCCAATAAGACTACTTATGAAGAATAAACTAGGATGATACAAAAGACTTAGATTCCAATAAGACTAATTATATTTTGGATTCTAATAAGACTATTTATGAAGAATAAACCTGGATGATATCTTCATATTTCTAATTTTGATTCCACATCTGGATATTGATGTTATATCCGAATGTCAAATCTTTATGATGATTTTCCAATTCCAAATACCAAATTCAGATGTTGAGATAAAATCCAAATATTAGATCTTTGACATCAAATCCAAATATTGGATCTTTGACATAAAATCCAAATATTGGATATTTGACATCAAATCCAAATATTAGATCTTTGACATCAAATCCAAATATATATCAAGTTGTCAAATCTGAAAGATACTTAACGTTAATTCAGATACAATAATCTTAATAGACACAAGGATGATATTAAAAATTCTTCTAAGTGTTGGATTGGATATATTTGTATTATTATCAAATCAAATGGCTGAGATAAACAAAGCCACATAGAAGGGATTGGGCATCTAAGTTTGATGATGTATTGTTGGCTTACAGGACTGCTTTCAAGACACCTATTGGGATGTCTCCTTGTCGTTTAGAATTTAGGAAAGCATGTCATCTACCTGTAAAACTTGAGCATAAAGCATATTGGATCATAAAATAGTTAAATATGGACGTGCTATTGGTCAATCAAGAAATAATCGTATGAAATGGAGGAACATAGGAACCAATCCTATGAAAATGCCAAGTTGTATATGGAAAATATTAAAAGGTGGTATGACAAGCGCATTCCTCCAAGAGAATTTACAAAAGGGCAGCAGGTCCTTTTATTCAACTCTAGATTGAAGTTATTCCCTAGAAAGCATAAATCTAGGTGGACTAGTCCTTAAGTTACTTTTGGTACATGAACAAGACAGGACAAGACTACACAAAACTCACCATTCCACGTTTAATGCGATATAAGACAGGGCAAGAACTGAATGTCCCATGTTTGGTACGGCATGGGACAGAGACAAGAACTGAGACAAAGTGAGATAGTGTGGGACAAAAAAGGCTCTTTTTGTTCCACCAAAATAGGTGCAACATGATGGGACAATAATGAGACAAAACCAAATTTTTACTAATCTATCATTGTTTGTATATAACTTTAATATGATATTTGTTTTAGTAGTCACCACCACTAGTCACGGTCACCAGTCCACCGTTGGCCACCTCCACTTCCTCTTCCACTACAAGAACCTCCTCCACCACCTCCACAATCACCATCAGCCATCAACCACCATCGTTCATCGCCATCATCACTACTACCTTTGTCTACCTCCTCCACCACCTCCACAGCCGATGTCAGTCATCAACCACTACAGTCCATTGCCACCTCTACCACTGTGGGCCACTTCACTTCCACCACTATTGACTACCACGACCATTGCCAATCACCACCAACACTACCTCCACAACCACTGTCAGTCATCGACCACCACAGTCTATTTACACATCTACCATTGTGGGCCACCTCACCTCCACCACTGTCGACTACTGCTGATAGGTGTTAATTTATTAACCCTATTTGCACTGTTTTTACATTGTTTTAGATTTATTTTATTATCCCAATTGAGTCTTTTAGTCTTTCTTTTTTACATTATTAGTGAATTTGGAGTTTTATTGAGGTTATGTAAAATCCTTGCATTTTACCTGAAAAAATGGCCAAATCTCAAAATTGATCAAATCATTTGAACTCCTACAGGATTTACTGATGCTGCATATGTTGATTGCATAAATCCTACAGATTCTTGTAGGACCTGTCCATGGGATGCCCACTTGGGCCTCATCTTGGGCCTATATTTTTGGATGAATTAAGTTTTTAGGCTCCCTTCTTTGGGCTTTTTGCTGCACACTTGGGCCTCAAGCTCCCTAGACACTATAAAAAGGGGGCTTATGCTTGTATTTTGGACACATCTCATTAAGTTACTTACTTTTTGTAACTTAAGTCTCTCTCTAGAACTTACTACTCTTCTTTATTTCTAGTTTTATATTTTAACTTTAAACTCTAGCTTTTGTTCTTGCGCTTTATCCAATGGACAGTTTGTTTCAGTCCTAACGGACCTTTACACCATTTGCTTCTTTTTACAATTGATTTCGCGTAGTTGATAATTAACCAACCAAACAAAAGATTTCTTCAAGTTCTTCATCTAAATCAATTTTAAAGACTAGACTTTCTTGAAAGACTCTACAAGCCATCTCTGTGGGAACGATTTTCAGTACTTCTACCATTATTACTTGTTACAACATGACAATAGATTAAGGTGTATACTTACGCCAAGGTCTATTTTTGCATTGAATTTTAGGGTAGTGAAATATCCACTCCAAGTTTTTGGTGCCGCTGCTGGGGATAGCAAACTAGAGTTTTTTGTTTTTAAAAGTAAAGTTTCTAAAAACTGATTTTTCTACCACTTCTTTGAAAAGAATTTTTTTTTCATATATCAGTGCATGCCAAGATTGTTCCACGGAGAATTTTTTTCAACTTGACCCAGAAATTGAAAACACTTTCAGACAACGAATAAGAGCACAAAGAGCTTCGTTTGCTTAAACCTCTTCACCAATGGCTGTAGTCAGAAGGGAAAAAGAGAAAATTTTCAGGAGAAATCTTGAACATGACCCAGATAATAATAATCCACCTTTGGACGAGGCACAAAATACCATTAGGCTTGCAAACTCTAAAGATAGAGCTATCATGGACTACAATTCTTGTTTTGTCCCAGTTACATACGAGAATTGTAAAACCCACTATGGTTGCCACCCATTTTGAATTTAAGCCAGTGATGTTTTAGATGTTACAAACTAACGACCACTACACTGTTTTGCCATCTTAAGATCCACATTCTCATTTAAGATCATACAAGGAAATCACATATTCATTCACTCTCCTTGGAGTCACAGATGATGCTCTAAGACTAAATTTTTTCCATTTTCATTAAGGGATAGAACTAGAGCTTGGTACAATTCTTTAATAACCAGATTCTGTGACCACATGGAACCAAATGGTGGAGAAATTTTTTTAAAAATATTTTCCACCCACGAGGAATGGTAAATCCATAAATGAGATTTGCACTTTTAAACAAATGGATGATGAAGTAGTTCCTGATGTATAGGAAAAGTACAAAGAGCTACTGAAAAAATGTCCACACCATAGCCTTCCGTACTGCATACAACTAGAGACATTTTACAATGGTTTAAATATTGTTGCTAAACAAATTTTTGACGCTACTGCAGGTGGAGCTTTCACAGCTAGTACCTATAATGAAGGTTTTGACATACTTGAAAAGAATTCTAACAATAATGGACACTGGGCAGACCCAAGAGCACTAGTACCTAGAAAAACAACAAGGTTACATGAGGTAGATGCTTACACTGCATTAACAGCTCAGCTCACTAATATGGCTTCTCTGGTTAAAACTCTTACTGTTAGCCCACCTGTGCAGCATCATGCCCCTACCTCTATTCTGACTGTTCTTTATGTGCAATGTGTGTATAGTGGTGATGGCCACTCTTTTGAACAATGTCCTGAGAATCTTGAGTGAGTAAATTATTTCAATAACAACAAGAGTGGACCCTTTTCACAAACTTACAATCCTGGATAGAAACAACATCCAAATTTTTCATGGCACTGTCCAACTCTTAACCCACCAATGCCAAAGTTGCAAGGACAGTCCAATTTTCAACCACAAGGACAGTCCAATTTTCACTCACAATCACACCAAGGCTCTCAAAATAACCAGCAGGCTAATTTTCGATCTCAAAATCAACAGCCTTCATTCCAACAAAGACCTAATCAGTATGGTGAATCATCTACTTCTTGGAAGCAATGATGAAAAGGTTCATGACCCAAACTCAGGCATCGATCAATTTTTTTGAAATACAGATGGGTCAAAAGGCTTTGGAAATGAGGAAAAAACTGGGGGATCCCTACCTAGTGACACTGAGACACCTCAGATGATTGGAAAAGAGCATGTTAAAGTTGTAGCCTTGGGGAGTGGAAAGAATTTATCATAAAATACATAAAAAGATTCAGAAAATCCAAATAAAGCAGAGTCTAAAAAGAATTCCACAACACCAACTTCTATTATTTTACCCTTATAACAGCCATGTGATATCCCTGGGCCTAAAATTACAAGTAATCCCACTGATACCACAACCATTCCAGAAAAATTAGATTTTCCCCTGTTATTTTCAAATGAACCCACAACAGTACAAAAACCCCAAGATAGGATTATTGTGGATTTGTCACACTCTGGTGGCAGTCCAACAGTACTTCCTAAAATAACATCTCAGATTAAACCCATTGTTGAACCTGTCTTGAAAACTCCTTCAACACCTACCCTTCAAAGGGATACATCTCTTACTCCAATCACACCTCATATTCCTTATCCGCAAAGGTGAACCAAAAAGGAGCACTTGAATTTTAATAAGTTTCTTGATGCTTTTAAGCAGTTGAATATAAACATAACTTTGGTGGAAGCCATTGAACAAATGCCAAGTTATGCAAAATTTCTAAAAGACATTTTGACTAAAAAGAAAAAGCTGACTGAGTATGAGACTGTAGCTCTAACTGAAAGGTGTATTACTTTGTTGTCCAACAAAATTCCTCCTAAACTTAACGACCCAAATAGTTTCATAATACCTTGTTCAATAGGAGGAAAAGAAATAGGAAAGGCCTTATATGACTTAGGTGCCAGTATAAACCTTATGCTTCTATTTCTTTTCAACACTTTAGGCATAGGTGAAGATAGGCCCACCATTGTTACACTTCAGTTATCTGAGAAGTCTATATCTTATCCTAAAGGAAAAATTGAGGATGTCTTAGTTCAGGTTGATAAGTTTATTTTTTAGTTGATTTTATCATCCAAGACTTTGAAGCTGACAAGACATCCCTATCATTTTAGGAGGACCTTTCCTAGCCATTGAAAGAACCCTGATAGATGTACAGAAGGGAGAGTTAACAATGAGAGTCCAAGACCAAAAGGTGACTTTCAATGTGTTTAATTCCCTTAGGCATCCTGAAGAAAAGGAGGAGTGTTCAGCTTTGAGTTCGATAGAATCTTGGGGTCAAAGAAAAGAGCTTGGAAGAAATTTTGGCAATAGGTGAGTCTGATAGTGATGAAGAAGAAGAATAATTTTGAGGATTTAGAATCACGACAAGAATTTGCAGTTTGTAAAGTATTTGAGACTGAGGATAAGAAAACTCTTGTTCCTTCCTTAGAAGTTGCTCCAAATCTAGAGTTGAAACAACTTCCCTCACATATGAAGTATGCAGTTTTAGGAGAACTAGAGAAGTTTCCAGTCATTATTTCATCATCATTAGAGTTAGATCAATAAGAAAAGTTGGTCAACATGTTGAAACTCCATACTAAAGCCATAGGATGGACCATTGCTGATTTGAAGGTCATAAGCACTACCATTTGTCAACATAAAATCATTTTGGAAGATAAGAACTTCAACACCATTGAGCCTCAAAGAAGGCTTATACTGTGATGAAGGACGTTGTCAAAAAGGAAATTCTAAAATGGTTAGATGTTGGCATAATCTATCCTATTGTTAGCAGTTCTTGTATCAGTCTTGTACAACATGTACCCAAGAAAGGAGGAGTTACAGTGGTACCAAATGAGAAGAATGAACTTATTCCTACTAGGATAGTGTTAGGTTGGAAGATTTGTTGACGCTGTACAAATTAATTTTTGGTTTTTATTTTTAGAGAAGACCTTAACAACATGACTTTCCATTGGTGGTCCACGGGTTAATATCTAACAAGTCGAATCTTTTATTTTAAAGAAAATTATGCAAGTATTTAAGATTTGTAACAAAACTTTCAGCGCAAGTTACCATTCTAGTCCCGTATATTATTTATTTTAATTTACCGTTTTATATTTACGTTTTCTGCATTTACTTTATCGCCGTTTAGTTTATCGCACTTCATTTTACGCAATTTACTTTACGTCATTTACATTTTCGCATTTATTTTTAATATTTATTCTAGAAATCCGTAACTTGCACGACAAGTTTCCTTCTTAAAATAAATACTTGCATTTTATTTAATGTATTTTTCTATCTCTATTATTTACTTTTAGTATTTTCATATTTTGTAAAAAAAACCAAGCGATGATGGGCTAATTGTCTTAGCTTGAGGTGTAATGAAAAATTAGGATCGAGATCTATGTGAAATTGGAAAGGTGTTTTAAATATAACATTTTTATCTAACTATTTATTTTGGGTAAAAAATATTTCATTGAAGATTGCATTAAATTAATTGATGACTAATTTTATGTATGAAAATGCATTAACTTTCAGAATTAAGATAAATACGATAATCTGAGGTAATATAAGAAGACTAAAAATAGTTTTAGTACATGAGAAGTGTTATGCTTATACGGTATAGGATGGTAACACAGTGTTGTACTAGGATCGGAGATTGGCATTCCATTGTTGTCATTTTATATGTATATGGTTACAATTATCTCTGCTCTCAATGTGTCTTTTCATGACATTTAACATAAATAATGTCATACCGATAGTATGCCGACCTGTGGGTACTCTTGGGAGGTTGTCTGACCCGATAGTCAGATATCTATGACAAAATAATTGTGCCAATTAATAGTACTATTGGACTGTACGATAAATCTTGTAATATCTTTCTAATGCATCATTTGTTTCAGTCCTAACAGACCTTTACACCCTTTGCTTCTTTCACGACTGATTTTCCGTAGTTGATAATTAACCAACCAAACAAAAGATTTCTTCGAATTCGCCATCTGAAATCAATTTTTAAAGACTAGAATTTTTGAAAGACTCTACAAGTCATCTCTGTGGGAATGATTTTCGGTACTTGTACCATTATTACTTGTTACAACGCGACAATAGATTAATATGTATACTTGCGCCAAGGTCTATTTGTGCATTAAATTTTTAGGGTAGTGAAATATCCACACCAACTGCCCATCACCACCTACATCGGCCACAACTACCTCCTCCACCATTCTTGACTGCCACTAGCACCACTATCCACCATCTTCACATCCTCCATAACAACCATAAGCTACTGACCACCACCGCCCATGGCCACCACCACTAGTACCGTCAACCATTACCACCTCCACCATAACCACCACCACCATCAGCTACCTATACCACTGCCTATCACCACCACTACCTTCACCACATCAGTTACAACTACCCTTTCTGCCACTATTGACCACCACCACTACTATTGACCATCCTCACATCCTTCATAACCATCGTCAGCCACCAACCACCGACCACCACATGCCTACTTCCACCACCACTAGTACCGTCGGCTGCCACTACCTCTACCATAACCAACATCGCCTACACCATAACCACCATCATCATTCATTACCGCCACCACTAATTCCATCACAACGGCCACTACGACCTCATTCACCGTTTTTGACAGTCATCACCACCACTGTCCCCCATCTTCACGTCCTCTACAACCACTATCATCCATCAATCATTAATGCCTCTACCTCCACAATCTTTGTTGTTGCAAAAAATTTACCATGCCTTTGCCAATTGATAAGGATCTTCCAAACCGAATAAAATATAATTTCTCCTTTGTACAAATTGGATTTTATTGAAATACCATCAATTATATCAAATTTTTTCATTCAAATTTAGTACTATTATATATGTATATAAACATTATGTAAAAATGCTTTGAATCATGAGATCGAATTTTCCAAATGTTCTTATACTTGTTATAATTTACTTGCTTTCATTTAAATTCTTTCTTTCCATATGCAAGCAAACCAGACAATGATAGGCTAATCCCTTAGCTTGGGTGTAAATTGATGTTGAGACCTGTTGTTCCCGTTAAGGTCTACAAGATGTGTATAACAGTTTGCAGAAGGGAAAGGGGGATGAATATAAACACAGTAAACTTTTCAAATTTAATATATATATTGATAAAGAAGAATCAATACAGATTTTATAAGATTGTTTGCGGAAAGATAAGGTAAAAATAACCTATCTAAACAGTCTAAGTTACACATTAGTTCTTAGCAAAAAAAAATGATTTGTTGTAAGATACTTAGAAGGAAGTTAGTTCTTTCTGGGTAAAAACTATTTAGAATACTAAAAAAGGGATTCTAACTTGGTTTTGAAGATAAGCGTATTGTGTTC